GTCCCAACCCCTGGTACTTTGTAACCTTATTTGGGCGGGGGGGAGTCTTTGCAGATGTAGGCAACTTAAAAGTGAAGCCACACTGGACTAGGGTAGCTCTGATCCAATGCTTGGTGTCTTTATAAGAAGAGAGAAACACAGACAGAAAGACACACGGGGAAAGACCATACAGTGACCAACGCAGGGACTGGAGTAATGCGGCTGTGAGCCAAGGGTTGCCAACAACAACCTGAAACTAGGAGAGGGGCCTGGAACAATCTCTTCCTCAGAAGCCCCAGAAGGAACTTATGCCTGGGTGCCGACGCATCGATCCCTGACACTGTGATAACAGGAGGGGGTCCCAGCCGCTGAGGCCAAGGTCTACTGGACTTTCAGTTGCCAGAGCCAAAGGTTTCTCTAGTTCACTGAAACTGTTTCAACTGCATTTCCTTCTTATTCAACTGGGAGGAGCCTGACTATCGTGGAGGCCATGGGTGGAAATGCACGTCTGGCTAAGAGGAAGCCCTCCATACATGGAGCTGTTAGTGTTGATGCTGCTGTGGTTTCTATTTCCAGCTGGACCGAGCACTCCCGAGCCGGTGGCCCAAAGGCTGCCAAAGGTCTCTGAGAGGGAGAAGCCTCAGGATCTCCCCTGTGCATGATGGACAAGGGCGCAGGATGGGGCAAAGGGAAGCTGTGCTGGGATGGAGCCCTGGTGAGTGTCGTTCTGGTCCTTCTGGGACAAGAACTGCTCTGCAGAGTCCCAGCATGTAGGGCCAAGTCTGTCAGGACCTTCAGCTCTCAAAGCAGAATCTCAAACCTAGGCCACCCTGAGGAGAGGTGAGCCCCTGCTCCCTGCGGCTGACGCTGTCCCCAAAGAGGCAGACAGTGGACTGGCCACATGTTCAGCCACTGGGACAAGGGCTTCACCAAAGGTGACCCAGGATGGACATTGCAGTGCCCACCACACCCTGGGCGTCAGTAGGAGCCTGGTACCCAGGACCTGTGCATGGTTGAAAACACTTTCACCCATTCACAGCACAGGTTGATGGGGACAAGGTCAGGTGGCCTGGGTGACAAGCTGTGGGAGCCCTTCAGGAGCAGCAGAGGCTCCCGATGGGGCAGTGGGCGGCCGGGCACGACGGGGCTTGGTGCACTGGGAGGATCCCGGGGAGTGTCGGCTGCATCTCCCCCACTTATCCCATAAATCTCTCTTCTTTCTGTGTTGACTTCCCAGCGTGCAGGGTGGCGTCTGCGGGCTGGGTGGCAGCTCTTCCTCCAGCTCCCGTGCCCCCCACGTCTGAGCTCTAAATCCATCCGTGCCCCCAGCCTCGGGACCCATCTGTGCTCAGACCCATCTGTGCTCAGCCCGCTGCCCTGCCATACCGCCAGCCCCTCCCTCTTATCAGCTGAGGAACCAGCGTTCAGAGAGAGGAAGCTGGTTGCTCAAAGTAACAGCCGATGGTTGAGCCAGGAAGTGGGACCACTTCTCCTTCCTCGGCCTTTCCTTCGCACACTGCAGGTGCACAGCTTGAGCCCCAGCGCCTCTGCCCGCATCTGGCTTCAGCCGCAGGGCCCTAAACCTAGGTCTGCCAAGTGCCGGAACCACAGGGGTTGGGGCAATGACTTGGCTTACAGGCTAGGTGGCTTGGCACCCCTGCCAGAGCGTATGCAGGAAGGGGCAGAGCAACCAGCAGGGCCCCCCGCCCCTCCTCCCACTTCCCCAACCACAGGTCTCTAAAGTGAGGAGGTCATATGATGGTGCGTCCCCGAGGCAGCACCCATGTTGGTTGTCCTGTTTTTCCTAGAATTGTTCACCCTACATTTGCACGGGGTCCCCCATAGAGCTATTTTACAGCACCATATTTCCAAATGGGCTTAACAGAGCACAACACAGCAAAATGGCTCTGTTAACGTTTTCCACACCTCAGAAATCCTAAGGGCAGGGGCCAGTGTGGAGGATGCTAGAAAGGGGAGGGCAGATCGCTTCTCTCGCACCCCCTTTGCTTTTGGTAGGCAAGACTGCCATATGAACAGGTCGCTTCCACCAAGGGCACGTTGCTCTGTGAGGTGGGCAGGGTGAGCCATGCAGAGAAGGGTCCACAGGAGACAGGCAAGAGAGACTGGGGAGGCTGGCTGGCAGAGGGCAGGGCAGGCCCACACCTGGGTTACCATGGGGCGGCGCAGAGGCTGAGGGACCCTGGAACCAAAGCCCCTGCCTCCCCTTACTCCAGGGTTCGTGCCGCCTTCCTGAGGTGGGGGCTGCATCCCATGGCCCTGGGCTCACATTCACACAGTCACCCCTAAGGCCCTGCTTTACTTCTTCCACGTCTTTCTGGGAGAGCACTCATTGTTCCTGTTTTGCACCAGAGGCTCCAAGGCCCAGAGAAGGTAACTAACTCATCCAGGCCCCCAACAGTTAATGGTCTAACGTTCCAGGGTCCACTCCGTGGCCACAAAGTGTAGGCCTTGCCTAGTCCCAGCCCGGCCCAGGGAGATGTGTGCTTACTGCAGACAACACTGATTGCTTGGGCACCGCACGGAGAGGGGTCGCAAAACACAGGCACAGGCTGCTCAGATCGGAGTTCATATCCCGCTCTCGCCCTCACTGCCACCTGTGCTATCTTGAGAAGGTTAAGTCTGGACGCTTCAGCTTCCTCATCCATGCAGCGAGGGTGCTGAGTGAATGTTACTCTCACCACCGGTGTTCCTTGCCCACCAGAGCCTAGGGAGGGCGGCCCAGGCTGGACAGGCTGCCTCTGAGAGGGTAGCCCTCACCCTTCCTGTCCTCTCCTCTCCCCAGCTCTGCGCCAGCACGTTTTTAGGACAAGCCTCCAAGGACAGCCTGGCTTTTCTGTAGGCCCTGTCCCTTGAGGGATTAGGGTCCTACCCAGGGGAGGGAGAGCTCTAGCAGGGGCCCTGGGAAGGGCCAGTGACCACACAAGGTCCTGAGAGGGACCTCAGGAGCATGGCCAGAAATGGGCTGGTTGCTCAGTTCCCAGTTAAGTGAGGAACTGCAGAGACCACCCACCTAACCCCAGCGAAGGGCTTTCAGCCTCTGCTCTCCTCTGCCTCTGGCTTCTCAGTGTCTGGACTGCATTCCTGGATCTGAAGGTGCGACGGATCACTGCCAGTGTGGACTGAAGGACGAACCCTCCGCTCCCCTCCCCTTCCTTCTCCTCCGTCTGAGCAGTGGGGGCCCAGGGCCCTGCTGTACCTCTCCACCTGGCAGCCGCTTCCTTCCCTTTCCAACCCTGGGATCCAGTCAGCCTCAGAACAGCCACCAAGCCTGCAGCACTGGGTGGTTCCTGGTGAGAGTCAGGCAGCCCGTGGACGTAGCACCATTGACCTGTTTCGCAGTTGAGGCCCAGGTTTGCCCAAGTCCATGCTGCTTGTCATGGGGCCAGGCAGTGTGAAACACAGTCTTGCCGACACCAGAGGCTGCCCAAAAGTTCTTGGACCTAGGAAAGGACAGGGAAGAAGGGAGGAAAAACACATTTTTGCTTTTTAGCAATACTGGGAGAACATCTAATTACTTCCTACAAATACTAACATCACAGTGCTTTTATTGGACTTAAGGCAATGCCAGCCACTAAGTATTCCAGGCCTGTGAACTCAGTTAATGGAAAAGGTCCTGGGTGGGATCAGGAGCTTTTCCCTCCCCTAGGAGTTCCAGCCATCCCAAGTGCTAGCTCCCAGGCCCTTCCTTCTCCCTTCCTGGACCTCAGGAGAAAGGCCACTGGCTGCCCTGGCTCCAAGGGCCTCTCTGTGCCCTGCGCTGGTCTTACAAAAAGAAAAACAGGCTGCACCCTCTTTGCAGTCTTCTTGACCATCTGGGCTACCTCCTCTGGACGCCACTGTCCCCCAGTGGCCTCCGATCGTGACCCTTCTCAGTGTGGCACTGAGTCAGTAAGCCAGATTCTATGCCTCTGCCCGGAGAGATTTGGACACTCTGGCCTGCCTTGCCTTCCCTCATTCCCTTCCTTTTCTTTCTCTTCTTCTTGTTAGTGTAATTAAATTTTAAGACAAGGTCTCATGAAGTTACCCAGGGTAGACTTGGCCTGTAATCCTCCTACCTCAACTTCCCAGAGTGCTGGGACTACAGGCACCACCATGCCTGGCTGCCTCATGATCTCTTGGGGTTTTTAGGATTTTTTTTTGTTTTGGGGGGTTTTCTTGGTACCAGGAATCGAACTCAGGGTCCTGCCAGGCAGGTGCTGTATCATGCATGGAGCTACATCCCAGGCCCCCCTCATAGTCTCCTGACCTCTGCATTCCTGGGCTTGCAGCTTTTCTTCAGCAAAGCAGGCCTCTGGCTGAAACCTGGGCCTTGACTCCCCACCAGCCAAAGGCTTCATTCTTAAAATGTCCCTCCCTCTGCACCTTCCCTTGTAGCCATCTCTTCTCTTCCTCCCCCAACTCCTCTCCCCCCACTTCCCCGGCCCAGGACCTCGTGCTCCTACATGCCGCTTACCCCCACCAGGGGCACAGTGCCAGTTTCTGGCCAAGGCAGTGAACGAGCAAAGGCCAGGTTCTTTTTACTCAAGTATAGTGATGCTAAATAAAATATTAGCACATCAAGTCGAGCATTATATTATAAAAATACATCCTGCTCACATAGTTTATTCAGGGAAAGCAAATGTGCTTTAATGCTGTTGAACATTGTACTGTAATTCATATAAATAGTCAAAAGAGGAGAAACAATTTGACTGTCTAGTAGATGCCCCCAAAATGTATTTTATAAAGACCCATATACATACCTATGTACCGGCTTAAAAAATACTTAGTAAAATTGAAATACCAGCATCCTTTTCTTACCATGATTTAAATTGTCTATGTCAAACTGTAGGCAGGCTAGCATGGTGGGGCACGCCTGTAACCCAGCATTCTGGAAGGCTGAGGCAGGAGGATGGCCAGTTTAGGCCCACCTGGGGCTACACGGCAATTTATCAAGATCTTGTCTCAAAATTAAGAAACAAAAAATTTTAAAAGGGCTAAGAACGTAGCCCAGTGTGAAGGCCTTGGAGTCAATCCCCTGTACTGGGAAAAACAAAACACAGGCTGTATGTGTGATGCCGAAGTACCAAGGGCACTGCTGTTACAGTCAGGTGCAAGAAGAGGCCAAGATTGGCCGCTTTTATTGAAATTTCTTCCGGAGCTGACAACCAGTGTTTTTGGTGAGAGGCACTGATACCCCAGTAGCAATAAGCTGCCAAGTGTTCAAGTAGCCGTTCTCCGCTAAAAGGGACTGGAGCTCCTTGGCGAAACAGCTGATCCCAGAGCTGGAAATTACAAGGGGAGTTGGAGGCATATAGGGGATGCTCAGATCAATGGAGACAGGTCAGAATGACACAGGCGTCTCTTTGAAAGGGCTTCCACTGGAGACGTCTGGGACAGGCTGGGCGTTCACATAAGGCTCCACAGAGATAGATTAGAACCTTTGGGCTACAATAGGAACCCATGAGTCCACATGGAGGGGGATGAATGAAGGCCGGAGAAAGGCGTTCCTGCCAATAGGGCGCCAGCAAGTGAATGCCGAAGAGTGACACAGGCAGACCTTCACTATTTGGCGACCGTCCCGGGGTGGCTGGGTAAGCTGGAGTCATCAAAGGATGCTAAGACTAGGAGGCGGGATGTGATGAGAAACAGTTGGTGCGGTCTTGCAGCGTCTCCTCACCACGTGGGTATCACATACAGAGGGAAAGATGGCGAGCAGGTGGTGGAGAAACCCAGCAGGCGCCAGCTTGACCTTGGGTCAAGATTAACACCTCCGTGTTGGGGAAGCCCAGTAACCTATGCTGGGTGTGATGCACAGAATCTTCCTGTGCGTTTCTGCCATGAACGCACAGCCGGAGCGTGGACGTGGGAAAACAGTCCAGCCTCAGGTCGGGAGACATCTGACAGAATGACTGGACGCCATTCTTTAAGATTGTCACTGTCACGGAAGCTAGGGAGAGACGGATAATGTTTCAGGTAGGAGGAAAATCATGAGCCATGACAACCAAGTGCAGTTCAGAACTCGGACTTGGAGCTTGGATCCAAAAGGCAAATGGGCCATTGCTGGGACAGTTGTAGAAATTTGCATGACGTCCATTGATTGGATGATGCTGTAAAAAGAATTTTGATTTCCTCATGTGCAGTGTTGAATGGTAGTAATGAGGAGAGGCTGTTGATTGGAGGAGATACAAATTGGAATATTTAGGGGTCAGAGGCATCATGTCTACAACTCGTTCTAAATTTTTAAATGGTTAAGGAAAAAGGAAGCCCCGTCTGCCTCTCTCTCTGTTGTGCCTGCCTGCCCTCCTCCATCTCCGCTCTGTTCATCAGCTGAGACATACCCATCTCATGTCCCTTACCTTACCGACCTGCCTGCCATTTCCCCAAGAAACATTCAGGGAAAGCACCCTACAAACACGAGGGAGCAGAAAACTCCTTTCCTCCGTTTATGTCAGGGTTTTACTGGAAACTTATGCAGCCTGCATCTGACCGCCCCATCTTGTCAGTCCTGTGGCCTCGTGCGTCTTCCCACTCTTCGATGCCCCCATCCAGATTGCTTGGAAGTCTTTTGGTCTTGATTCGCCGGTGCTGCAGTGATCCCACAAAAAGGTGACCAGAGGAGGCTGGGCGGTGAGGGAGAAAGGGCATCCGTGTTCAGAGCATGAGAGCGACGGGCCTGCTCTGGTTTTGACCCTCTTCTCCTTCACGTTCTGGGCCATCTCCTGCTGCCGTGCCCCCCGGTGCCAGCTTCTACAGCCCAGCCGGACTGGACACGGGCTGCCCCAGCCCTACTCCTGGAGGCAGCGCAATGCAGAGGGAAGATTCAGGGAGACAGGTGGTGTGAGGCTTGCTCGGCGCCTCTCACCCGCTCTGCGTGGGCCCTCGCTGACTGGTCGGAGGGAGATCTCCTGAGCGTTCCCTGGGAGGTGAGTACACGGGGCCAGGACCACAGCATTCGAGGAATAGTCTTACCCCTTCTGAACCTCTTCTGACTTAACTTCTCCCTGTGCCTTGGTTTTCCCATATGTGGAATGGAACTAATCACCCTCAAAACATCTCTGCAAGGTACTAATTACTGTCTGTGAGAGGCTTTGAGATCCCTGGATAGAATATAACAGTACTAATAATGGATAATAACACTCTGTCCCTCTTTGAGGCCTTTCATCCGCGGATCTCAAAGCCTTTTACAAACTTTAATTAATTCTCACAACACCCCAGTGCAGGAGGCCGATGGTCATTAGCCCCATTTTACTGGTGGGGAAACTGAGAGGAGTCAGGAGGCTGGCTTGAGGCCACACAATAAGCTGACAGTCCCGTGAGGGTTAGAACTCACAGCCTCTGGCCCCCGGGAATGGCCCAGACAATGTGGGCTCCACTCAACAATGAGCGGAGAGGCTGAGGGGACAGAGGCACCTGCCAAGCCCCCAGGATGGCTTTTGAGGGGAGTGTGAGCCACTGAGCATGGGGGAGACTTAGGAAAATAGGAGGAGGCCCCTAGGCATGGGCTCTGCTGGCCTGGCCTGGCAATTTGGAGGACAAGTAACACTTAGAGGGCACTTACTGTACATGGACCCTGTGCCATGAACCAAGCAAATGACTGTCACTGGTCTATACCACAAGTCAACCGGACAGCACTGGGCATTATTAGCCATCACTGTAGAGGGGGGAACCTGAGGCACACAGAAGAAAACCAGCTTGCTCAATGGCACGACTGAGGACAAGCCACTGTACTTCAGTAACCTCTCCCTTCCCCAGCCCCTGACTCCTTCCCAACCTCTGTGGGCTGGTGAGGCTGCGTGACATCATCTCAGAGAGGCTTTGATGCGCTTGGAGGCTGCAGGTCCTCCCAGGGGAAGATGAAAAGCCTTGTGTCCTGGCCTCCGTGTCATGCCACAGGGAAGTTCCCAGAAGAATGGAAACAGCACGGTCACCCTGGCTGACTGGGACTACCTGGGGACAGACACCCACCCCATGGGCTGCCACCCAGGTCTCAGGGCCGGCTTCCCATGCCCTGCCTGTGGGTCTCTCTGAGGAGGACCCTACTTCCTGGCACAGAGGGGTGAGTGACAGGGCAGGGCAGGGAGGACCTGAGAAGAGGGCTGCACCATTAGGTAGCTGTTCAGTGTTCCAAGAGGGCTGGCACAGGAGACCTCTGGGTTTCCGGGCAGCTCTGACCGTGCCCTATCTCCCGCTACAGAGCCACATTCTCCGGAATGCTGTTTCTTTTTAATTGCACCCCTGTCCCGTGAGCTTACAGGCTTTGTTAAAAAGCCAATTCATTCCAGTGACAGCGGCAGGCACTTGGGGACTGGGCAGGATGTCAGAAGACCTGGCTCCAGCCCCTGGCTGTCTCTCGAACATGCTGTGTGGTCTGGAAAACTTTCCTGCTTCCTGCCTCAATTTCCCTGTCAGTATAAACCACAGTGGAGAATGTCAATGCTGTTGCTCCTGAGGGGCTTTTTAAGCCCAAGGAAAGAAATGCAGGGAGAAGGCAAGAGCATGTAGAAATATGGTGCTTCAGGATGGAGGGGTGGGGTGCCAGCGACGGGGTGATCTTTTGGGGGGGCAATGCTATAAATGCCACTAGCAATTGAGCTCACAGCTTGCTCAGTCATTTTTTTTTTTTTTTCCTGGTACCAGGGATCGAACTTGGGTCATTGTGCTTTCAAGACAAGCAGCAGAACCATCGAGCTAAATCCCTGGCCCTGCTCAGTCTTGATCTAAATAATATTTAATATTTGTGTAGCTTTTTGCCTAAGTTAGCAAAATGCTAACTCTCTCCTAATGACCTCTTTGAAACCCCTTCCACACCTGCGGGGGAAGGAGGAATATCAGTACCTCTAACTTACAGACAAAGGAGTGGGGTCAGAGAGATGAAATAATGTGTTTCAGGACACACAGGTAGTAAAGGACAAACCCGGGCCTCCCACCCAAATGTGTCAGTGGGGTACCTTCCGGAAGATTCTGCACCTTAGAGCCCATCCTAGGGGTTGGAAGTTTGGTGTCCTCGTGTCTGTGCTGGGTTGTGGGTCTGGGTCACAGAGGCCCTTTTCCGCCTGGGGTGGGGTGGGGTGAGGGCCCTTGAGGTGGAGGCCTGGGCCTGCAGGAGGCCAGGGTGCGGCTGGTGGTGGGTGGGTGGTGCTCAGGCGGCTGCCGGCCGGCTGGGCAGGGGGGGGGTGGGCAGGGGCCTGAGGACAGAGT